GGAGGAGATAGAGGTAGAAGTTTTGGGTGGTACTGGTACAGTACACATGCCTATGTAACCATGCAAGGCTCGATCAGGCATGTGGAAGCTGAGACACCAAGAACCTAATAAAACCAAGAAAAAAACTCCCAGGGGCTTTCACTTGCCCTGGTATAAACATTAGTCAATAAGAGAAGAAAAAAACAAAGCAGTCTCCCACCCAGCACCCAGCACCCAGCACCTCCATTCCCAGCCCTTCCTCAAGGCCCCCATGAATCGTGTGAGGTTTGGAAAGAAGTCAGAGAATAAGAAAACGCATGTGTCCGATGAGAGCCTGAAACATCAATAGTCAGGCCACAAGCCTCACGGGCTTGAAAACTCAGACCTGGGGTCAGCCGACCTCGTTGTAGAAAGTGTGAAGAAAGCACGTCCAGCCCGGAGAAAGGTGTGTAGAAACCAGTCACCTCTTGGTTTGATGGTTTGCTGTACTTTTTTCCCTCCCTCCCAAGGAAGACAACATTTCCCCAACAAGTGTTGACTCCAGGACATTTTGCAAAGTGAAATTAGGAAATCAGATGAAAACCCACAGGAAACAGGGATTCCAGCGGTGCCAAGAGCTAAGCCAGATGTGCAGGGGTTCTTGGCCTAGAAGTCAGTGGGGCCGCCCCAGTGCCGGGCGACTCCTTCCCGGGTATAGCACATGGCCCTGCAAACGCCTCAATCGGCGAGGCCGGCAGATGAGGGCTGCAACCATGCACAAAGGGACCCAACAGCCCCCTGGCCACCGTCAGGATGTCGCCCAGCTGTCTCCCCGTTTGCATCCGAGACGTGAGGAATGAGGACAGTCGTGGAATTATGCAAAGGCTGGGAGCTCTCCATAAAAACGCTTGGTAGGGGTAAAATATTAATTCGATCTGTCCAAACTGAGAGGAGATGATTAATGAACAGGGTGGCGAGATAAAGGTGCTCCTCAGGAGAAGTGAGCGGAGGAGTCATGAAGACGCTTGTACTTGGGAGCACAGTTTGCAGACGCCCCGTCACACAGCGCCTCCAAAGGTAAGGAACACATGCCCGATTTCTTGGCAATCACCTGGATACATGGGTGCAGGTGACTGCTTTCCCAGGAGGACAATCACATGCTTCCCGGATGACAATGTGTGCTGATTACCGGGGTCTTGGTGTGTGCCTAAATTACAGACCACACGCCCGCTTTCGCTTTCCAGCAATCCAGTGGCTACACGGTATCAATTACCATTCTCTTGTAAGGGTTCACTCTTCCTGTCTTGCCACGGAGATGGTTTGGGGTTTGTTTTGTTTTTTCGGTTTTTAAAAATAGTTTTATTGGCATATAATTATACAACAGACAATTTAATAGCTTAATCGCATTAAGAGTTGTGCAATCATCGCCACAATCAATTTGAGAATATTTTCTTCTTTCTTGTGCTCATTGTTATCTTCCCTTCCCCCAACCACCCCACCACCCAGTTACTCTCTCTAGAGTTGTGCGGATTGCAGATTTCATGTACAGGAAAGCATGCATCCCACAGAGAACAGTAACAAAACAAAGTCATGGAAAGCCTCAACCCCCCCAAAAAAACACAGAAAATGTTCAAAACTGAACTTTTAAAGGAGTCAGAAGGGAGATCAAATGATCCTGGTGTAGCATTTGGACAGCAGACAGCCACATCTGCACAACCGAGATCACACTCCTGGTCAACCGCCAGCATGGCCAGGCGGTGACAGGACGGATCCTGCTTCCACAATGCCATTGGCAATTCTCCGGGTGAACAGAGCCCTGTGATTCTGATGGGAGAGAAATTGTTTCCATTTTTCGGTACCTTTTTTATTTTTTAATCATTTTATTGGGGGCTCAAACAACTCTTATCACAATCCATCTATTGCATCACGCACATTGGTACATTCGTTGCCCTCATCATTCTCAAAACATTTGCTCTTCCCTTAAGCCGCACCAACTCCCTCCACCAGGGAAGAGCGGATTCTGGGGGAGTCACTTTGTGCCAACAATGACCGCGGGCAGCTTCACAACACCCGGGCCCCACTCACCGTGCTGTGTGAAGAGGTCGCTGTGGATGATCTCAATCATGCAGTACAGCTTCTGGATGGTCAGCAGGCCCACGGGAACGTTGAGGATGAATTCAGTAAACATTTTGCTGGGAGACAACAGACAGGTAAGGATTTAAGGGCACACTCACATCACAGGATCACACGATGCTGTGGCCAGGCGGCAGGGAGACATGTGGTCATGAAATGCCACAGGTGGAGGGAACAATGCCCCTGACATAATGTGGGTGACATTTCTCCCCACATAAGTGTTTCTGGATGATAGTTTTCACGTCACACAAACACCACTGCCAGCCAGGGGATTTCAATCAGAGCAACCCCACAGGAGACAGCAGACCCACTCCTGTGGGTCTCTGAGATAGTAAACCTCTGTGGGAGCAAATGGTCTTGTCTTTCTCTAGAGGAGCGGCTGGTGGGTTTGAACCGCTGAGCTTTCAGTGAGCCATCCCAGGCTTTCCCCACAGGGCCACTGGCAGGGCTCTACACGTGCTAGAATGGCTATCATGTAAAGGACAGATAAGAAGTACAGGTGAGGATGTGCAGAGATCGGGCCTCGCACTTTGCTGCTCTTGAGGGTGAAAGCAGCCCACCCGCTCTGAGTTGACCCTGACCACCCAGCACCCCTGCGGGGAAGAGTACAACGGCTCCATCAGGGTCGCGAAGCAGGCGACAGTGGGGAGGCGGGAACGGCAGCCTGGTGCTTAACCCGCTGTGCCACCAAGGCTCCCGCGGGCACAATTTGGAATGCGCAATGGGGCTACTATTTTGGAAAGGAGTTTAGCATCTCCTCCAAATTTCATTGAACAGCATGCGATATGTTTACAAGATGGTTCAACATAATAACCAGAAACCCAAAGCAAACCCGTCACCACCCAGTCAGAGGACCCACCACGTGGCCCTGTAGCCAGAGCGGCCGTGCCCCTTAGGGAAGCAGACGCCTGCACAGTGAGCAGCATCTCACTGCCATCACACTGACGGCGGCTCCGCGGGGTCCTCGGACTGAGACTCTTCTCGGGAGCAGAAAGCCTCGTCTTCTTTCCCAAGAGCCCTGCAAGGAGCAGCCTGACTCATAATTCCGGGCCAAGGTTGGGACCCACGAGAAAGGAAAGTGTGTCCACACGGAAACACTTGTACAAGACTCATCACGCCGCCATTCAGAACCCCAGCCTCTGGACACAAGCCAACTGCTCATGACCGGCGTAGCCACACAGTGTCCTGTCACTCAGAAAAAGACCGACCCACGCTGCGGCGTAGATGGCCTCCACGTGGCGTGGGAGGAGCTGGTCTTAAAAGCCACATGCCACAGGGTGGCATTTGAGTGAAATGGCCAGACAAGGCAAGTCTACAGACACTTGGATGAAGATGGGGATCGTCTACAGCGACGATGTGCAGGAGGGAGGAGTCACTGCTGAGGAGCACAAAGATGCCAACAGGGGAGAGAAAGTGACCTCAAACTGGCTGGCAAAGAGGGCCCTGGCGCTGTGTGCATGGACGAGAAACCACGGCCTGGGATTTCATGGCACATCAGGGGATGCTCGGTGACATCATTTTGTTCTTCCCAATGGGGAATAAACCTAGCAAGGAATGCCGGAAGGAGAGCTCTGGGGAATATCCAAAGAACACACACTGGAATATGGCCAAGCACCGTTTTCACAATCACTGGGTCAGTTGATTAACATGGCCCTCCTAGTCACTGGGCCTTCTGGGAAGCATGATCTTCAGGGCTCTAACACTTGGGCTATAGTGTCAGGTTGGCAGGTGTTCTCTACTAATGGATAGGATTCAGATGGGATGAAGACCTCAGCTCCTGCAGGCTGTGAACCCAGCCACATCCTGTTTCCTGGGAGGGATCGTGGACCCTGCCCTAGGAGAGGACGGGGGAAAGACGTGGCTCTCTAAGCCCTTAATGAGTGACAGTCTCAGAAACCCACCGTGTCCTACACGGTGGCGATGAGTCGGCCTCAGCACAATGGCAGTGAGTTTGGGTGTTTTGCCTTTTGAGAGGGAGGGGGACGTAAAGCCTGGGATGAAGTATCTGTGCAGGTCCCACCACAGTTCTATCACAGTCACCTCACCTGGAAAGCCATACTGCTTGCAGTTCCTGGCTGGGCTTTAGCAGAAGCAAGAAGACCTGCTGTGGATTTTGCATGTTTGGGCTTCTGGCTCTGACCCTGCCGTTGGCTCACCTCTGCTTCACCTTCAAGGAGCCCTGATAGCCAGTGCTTATACTTTAATAGTTCGAATCCACCAGCTTCTCCGAGGTAGAAAGAGGAGTGTCTGCTCTCATAATGAGTGAGTCTTGGAATCCCACAAGGGCAAGTCTAATGGACCCTACAGGGTCGCTAGAAGCCTTTGATCTGGGACTGAACAGCAGCCACCGCCCTGGGAGACATTTCCTCAACATTCTGTGACGTGCTGTCGAATGCTGCAGCACATCGCAGAACCCAGGGGCGTGAGGGAAAATACTCCGGAGAGGAGTGGGGGGAAATAAAGCTGAACAGCATCATGGAAGAGCTGGACATTTGGGACATCCTTCATCTCCAGCTCCTTGGGACTAGTCTGGTACGGATTCTTCTAACAGAAATGGCTGCCACAATCGCACTGGCAAGGCTTGAGAACACACGGGTTTCATACTGACAGAGGTGGAGGAGGCAGACAGCACCATGTCCATGAGCACATCGGCTGGGCCTTTGTGTGGGGCAACTCGGCAACCTATAAAAAACCTGGCCCAGCCACTCCACGCCTAGTGTCTCCTGGTGGCATAAATAATTTAATGTGACTCACTTCAATAATATTAAGAATAACAGTTATGCTGGATACACTGGATCGCGGCAGAGTTCATCCTCGTAGAAGCTGGCCACGACCTCACACTCAGCAGTACAGCCTGTCCTTTGTCACTGATGCCTGGGATGGCATGGAAGCCCTGCCCTCCTGCGTCTGAGTCACCAGGGACCAGGAATTTAGTGTGGACTGGAATTAATAATAGAAGCTCTGTCACAGCACGGCTGTAACGATGAACCCCATGCCTCGTGGGCAGTCTTGAGTGTGAAGCTGATGCTGCATGGGGGAAACACACAGTGGAAGTCCGTACCTGCTGCTGCTGCTCAAATAACGAAGGTTCCAGCCGAGAAGGGAGACCCGGGTAGAGTCCTCAAAGATTACTGTGTGGTGGGCTACTCCGTGGAGTGGGAGCAAGAGGGTTCAAGTTCAGAGGTGCATGGCAGCAAAACACAGGTGATGTTGCATCTCCTGGGCCGGGTGGAAGTGCCTCTGTATGCATGCCTTCAGACCTGCCTCGTTATGTAGGGGCAGGGGCATGATATTTGATATTTATTCTCTCCTGCGAGCTCTTCTGGGTTCAAGGCATTTTTATTTTAAACAAGAACCAATGTGATAAATCAGAGAAAGACTGTGCAGGGCAGAGGGACACATCCAGGGGCCAGGACAGGGCTGGCTATGGTGGCCAAACGGCTCAAGCACCAATGGAAATGGCCCAAAGCAGCCCACCCATGGGTGACACATGTGTGGGGCGGCCAACGAGCCGCTGTGACTTGCCCACTTCCTCCCAGATGACCCCAGCTCCGAGCATGCCTGGGAAGCACGGCCAAGGCCATCACACCCCAGGCTGCTGGCCAGTGCATGACGTAGCAAGTCTGCTCTTCCGGGGCCCCACGGGGAGAGCCACACCCAGAGAGGGGACAATGCAGAGACCCTGGGGACAAACATGGTCCCACGGGTCACCCACCTCGTTTTCCCTTTCCCCACTTGACCCACAAGTCAAAGCCACTGCCACAGGGTCCACCCTGACTCCAAGTGACCCTGCAGGACGAAGCAGGACTGCTCCTCCGAGATGCCCCACATTGAAGTGGGCAGCACCTGCTGGGCTCAAACCAGCAACCATTGTGGGTTAGCCCACCATGCCTTCAGGGCCCCTTCTAGTCTCTACGATCCCTTGTCAGCACAAGGAGACCAGACACTCAAAGTGTCCCTGTGTAACACTAGATCCTCAGACGCATCAGAGACATGACAGCTCACAGGGAGCATCGACCGCCACCAGGAGCGTCCTAGCCCATCCAGGCCAGGCTAGGAGTGGCCAAAGCTGCAGGATCATCCTTCACTCACAGGCATCGAGCCGGTGCTGATTCATTGCAACCCTAAAGGGAAAAGTGGAACTGCCTCTGTGAGTTTCCTACTCTGTATCTTTCTGGGATTAGAAAGCCCCGTCTTTTGCCCTTGGAGTGGCTGGTGGTTTTGAACTGTCGCCTTAGAGGATAGCAGCCCAACGTGTAACTCCTATTCCACAATGGCTCCTGAGTAATCTTTCGGGAGGCTCATGGCTGGTAAAGATGGGGCATCCCAGTGCAGCAAATCTCACATGCAAACCCCAGCAAGAAGCAAGTGAGGGCTGTGATTCTGGATGTCTGTGGGGTGGGAAGCTGCCCACAGCAGGCAGGTCCACCCCCTCCATCCCACCCCCACCCCCAAGAGGACAGAGCCTGCAAGAGACAATGACAGCTGCAGCTCACAGGCTCACGCCTGCTTTGGACACAGGGTGGCAGGGGAAAGGGAGGGCTGGGTCCCTCCTCAGTCTGCAAACCAGCTTCCCCAAAAGAACTTCAGTACCCCATGGGCCCCTCCCCGCCCCCCACCGAGAATACAAAAGCCCCCAGACTAAGCATTTTTTGAGGTGTTTAAATCCAAATCAACCAAAAGGCAACCAGCATGTAATGACATTCAAATCCTAAAATATGTAAAATGCCCAATTAGCATGAAGCACCCATTAGGCTATCCTCAGTACAGGAAAGAAAAGACTTTGGGTGTTGACAGATGATCCATAGAAAGTCCTGATTATCACACTGTCACAGCCCTCAGTCGCAGCACACTCCTTACAGAATGATCCGGGCATAGGCACGCGTGGGCACATGCATGCCAGAGATAGGAGCCCTGGCGAGTGCCCTCGAGTGCGCACTAGAAAGGAGGCCCTGCAAGGCTGGAGGGCAGCGCTGGCCTCAGGCGCCTTACCTAAGCTCTTTGGGGTCAAACACCAGCTTCACATCGTTGACAATCGTGGGCAAGTATTTCAGCGCTGCTTCCTGCAAAACAAGAACAAAGAAGAGAAATGGGCCGTGAGATAGGGAGCAAGGCCCCGAGTCCAGATGAGGTGGGGTGGCTAAGCCTCCTGCACACACGGCAGAGGGGCAGAGATGCTGAGGGGGACCCTAGTGTGAGCAGAAGCCAATCCCCATTGCCTCTCAGCAAAGTGCTCGACCAATGGAGATCGTACATCATCGACCCCCTTTCCTTCTGGCCAAACCCCAAACCCACTGCCAGGAAATCAATTCCTACTCAGAGCGAGCCTAGGTCTGTCAATTTACAGTCCGAGGCTGTAAATCTAAAAGCAAGTAGAGAGCCTGAAAGAGCACCTAGTGGGTTTGAACCACCGACCTTGAGGTGGAAAACAAGACCGGAAAAACAAACTCACTGCCATGAAGTCGATGCAGACTCACCAGGGCCCCATAGGGCAGGGGAGAACTGTCCCTGTGAGTTTCTGAGACTGTCACTAACTGTTTAGGGGTGTGGAAAGCCTCATCTGTCTCCCGCAGAGTGGCTGGTAGTTTCGAACTGCCAACCTTTCAAATCCCTGCCCTAAGTATAACCACTACACCAGCAGGGCTCCCTGAGCCTCCAGCAAATGAAGGCCTGCCCCTCAAGAAGATTCCTCCCCCCCTCGCCCAGCCATGACATGACCATTGCTGTCAGCCCAAGGACCTCTTCGAGAATGGTTCTCTTTCCCATTGTCCCGAATCGTGTTCTTTTTGAGCAGCCTGGTCTCCTGCAACCACATTGGGAATCTTCTAGAAAACACACTCTCTTCACAGGTGGCCTTCTCCTAAGAGTTCCTCTGTATCTTCCAGCCCCGTGGAAGTTCTACCTTGAAGTCTAAAGGTCCTTCCGGGATCACAGGGAAAAGAGCATAGAAATGTTATACTGAGCCCTCCAGGAGCTGGGATTGAAGTGTCCGCCACACAAGGCCAGATCTCGGCCTCTCCACTGACACCCTGTTATGGAAAGTGCTGGATTTCCAACGTTCCGACTCATCGATCATCGAACACCATCAACGCATCGCAGCAGGCTGGGCCACAGCCTGAAAGAAATGTGGAGATCAGACTCATCCCAACCAAACCTCACTGATTTCCAGAAAGCTCAAATTCAACGGAGATGAGGCTGGGGAGACATTTAGAAACTGCAGAATACTCCAGCTGTGCTGGGAGCAATTGCTGCCACTGCTTTCAGGAAAGCCCCCAAGCAGACCCATGACCTCCAGTTGTGTCTGACTCATGAGGGTCCTACAAGACACAGTAGAGCTGCCCGGAGGGGCTTCTAAGGCTGTGAGTCTTTTCCGCAGTGGATGGACACATCTTTCTACATTGGAGCTGATGCTTGGTTTAAACTTCCGATCTTTCATGAGTCTAAACACTGCACCACCATGCCATCTTTTCTCAGAAAGTCTGCAGGTAGACGCTCATTCTGAAAATATCACCCAGAACACAAGTGACCAACTTATCTTCAAAAGGGAGGACCTCCTACTCTCTCTCTCTCTCTCTCTCTCTCTCTCCAAAAAACACCACCACCCCACCCCAGCCCCCACCACCCCCAAAAAACCTTTATTTGGTAACTTGGTATTCCATTCCAACATTAACTGCACAGGGATGATAGACCTACAACATGGCCAACAATGCTTGTGACCTTGGGATAAGCAAAGACTTCTTTTAGGAGGCATCAAGTGCAACCCACGACAGGAAAACGGAGTCATGTGTATTTCAGCACGAAGAACGAAGAACGTCTGCTCTTCCAAAGACTCTCTAAAAATAACCGAGGACTGCTCCTAGGCCAGGGGCAGAACAACCGCCAGCCCCACATCAGATGGAGGACTTAGATCCAGAAAATGGTCCAGGCATTTGAATTGTGGTGCTGAAGAATACTGACAGTACCACGGACGGCTAAAAGGGCGAACTTCCTGAAAGAAGTACAGCCAAAATGCTCCTTCGAGACAAAATAGTGAGGCTTCCTCTTATACACTTTGGGCATGTTGTCAGGGGAGACCAGCCCTGGGGAAGGACATCATGTTTGATGAAGGAAAGGGGCAGTGAGAGAGGAAGGTCTTGCATGACAAGGTGGATGGACACTGGGGTTCAAGCACAGGAACAATTGTGAGGACGTCGCAGTAGGACCTAGTAAGATGTCGCTGTGTTGTACATTGGGCCGCTGGGGGTTGGAACCAGCTCGGTGGCACCTGACAACCCTAACAACATCCAGAAGATGCTGCCTTTGTTGTTGGGTACTGCCAATGGTTCATAGCCCTTAGAGCAGCGGTTCTCAACCTGTGGGTCACAACCCCTTTGGGGGTCGAACGACCCCTTCACAGGGACCCCCTGATTCATAACAGGAGCAAAATGACAGCGATGACGTAGCAATGAAAATAATGTTATGGTTGGGGGTCACCGCAGCATGAGGAACTGTGTGAAAGGGTCACGGCATGAGGAAGATTGAGAACTACTGACCTAAAGACAACTGAGTAAAACTGCCCAGAGGCTTTCTCAGGCTCTAATCTTTATCAAGACACAATGGTCTCAAACCACCGACCTTTAGGTTAACAGGGGGATGCTCAACCACTGAGCCACCAGGGCTCCCTATGTATCATATGTCATTGTTGGGTGCCATCGAGTGGATCCCATCCCATTGCAACCCTAGGCACCACAGAAGGACATCCTGCTCGGTCCTACCCCATCTTCACAATTGGGGCCATGCGTGAGGCCACTGTGGTTGCCACTGGGTGACTCTATCTCACGGAGGTCCTTCACTGGCACCAAGTCCACTCCGACGCAGAGCGACCCTACGGGACAGAGTAGAACTGCTCCTGTGAGTTTCTGAGACTGCAAATATTGACGGGAATGGACAGTCTCGGGTTTTTTCCCCAACAGAGCAGCTGGTGGTTTCGAACTGCTGACCTTGTGGTCTATGGTCAAATGTGTAACCCACTATGCTACCAGACTCCATGGAAGGCCTGAAGATCTGTGAGAACTCAATGATAAGGAAGTAAGTCACCTCCCCCTCCCTGCCACATGGACAGAAAGAGACATGGACAGACACTTGGCTGATGTGCATGTATGTTGAAAGGATGCTCCGTCCTCTCGGTTATCAGGAGGATGCAAATGTAAACCCAGGGAGACACTGCCCCCCCACAGTTCACACGGTGATGAGCTGCTGTAGCATCTACTCTGACTCCCGCTGACCCCAAGTGAGGACGACTAACGAGCAAAACCCCCAAACAGAAAGGGGAAACATGGGGACTCAAAACACAACCAACGGTGAAAGCCTGCCAGGCCCAAGTGCTGCTTGGAGCCATGAGCAGCCAGAACATGGACACAATCAAGTGAGCCTGGGGCAGCGCTGGGCAGTTCCTCATGAAGTCAGACAGACAATTTCTAAATGGCAGAGCGGTCCAGGGCGCCCTCCTAGGTACTGACCTAAGTGAGATGGGGTGTGCAAGACCCTGCGCATGAGCATCTCTCCTGGCTGTGCGTGTGATCATCCAACATCAATCAACCCCACCCAGGTGCCCTCACAAAGCGCATGGAGGAACTGGCTGCGGTCCAGCGTGTCCTGGAACCCTGCTCAGCAATCCAAAGGATCCAACCAGGACATCCCTTAACAACAGAGACGAAACGAAAGGTACTCAGAACTGGGCTGTAAGGAAGGTGGGTTTTATGGCATGTTATACCTTTATATTTTTCAATGAGTAAGATGCGGGGGACTCTGGTAGGCTTCATTAACATGGAAAATGCCAACCCTGGCACATCACCCTCAGTGGCCACACTCAAGCCTCGTCCAGTGAGGTCCATTCTGTGTGCCACGGTCAACCGGCATGCTGACCTTGCCCGGGGCTCCTCAGCCCAAAGTCTCACCAAAGCCTCCAGAAGCACAAAGATGAGAATATGTGGACACAGAAAAGTGGGACATCATTAGCCCAGTGTCCCTAGAGAAGGATTCGGAGCTAATAGTGAACCCAGCCTGGCGGTCCTTTTGTGAATCGCCCGCCTGTATGGTCAGGAAGACAGTGAACAGGCACTCCCCTTTGGCCACTTCAGCCTCCCTTATAAAATCGTCACTGCTGTGCCCCACCCCCCCACTCCCAGGTATTAACCCTGTCCTTCAATGCCAGCTAGAGAAAGACCTTCTGGTTGTCTGCTCAGAAACAAGACTTTTAAAAAGAGCCTTTAGTAGAAATAATTTCACTCTGGTTTCAAAAGTTCCGCTTCAAATGCCTCCGAGTGGCTTTGAAAGACTGAAAAACTATTTATCTTGACATTTACTAATAAGACTCCAGGAGGCTTATAAGACTCCGCTCGGGCTGTGAAGTGTCTCGTTGCGTTCACGAATGTCCAGAGGGTGAGAGGACGCATGCGGTTTGATCTGGGCCCAACAAAGCGTCGCCTGCCCAGGGAACTCTGGAACGCACACCGTTCCACAAGGACGCAGTGGGCAGCAGCAAACACGGAAGGCCCAACTTCGTCTGAACCAGGGTTGAGTGTCCCAAGGTTGTCCCCTGACCTGAGTCCTCAAGAGCCTCCGGGGCCCTAGATGTTCCCGCGCCCTCCAGGGAGAGGGGGTTGTCCTCACAGGGGCAGGCACACCCTGGGTCCCTCAGTGCTGACTCAGAGGATGCTGCGTGTCCTGCAAGGTATTATGGACTTAGTGTCTTACAGTCAACCAGGCATCAGAGCAGAGATAAAGGGCAAATATGACGACAGGTCATGAGACGAACAACGAATGGGTGGGGTGCACCCAAGAGGCAGAGCTGAGAGCCCAGAGCTGCTAACTCCAAGGTCAGCCGTTCAAACCCACCAGCTGCTCCAGAGAAGAAAGACGGGGCATCGGCTACTGTAAAGACTGACAGCCTCAGAAGCTCTATACAAGGTGGCCATGCATCGCCACCCACTCCAGGGCAGTGAGTTTGGGTGTGTCCTTAGTGGTGTTTGAGAAGGGGGAACTGCCCCATCTCTCCTGAGGCTCCGAGCCCCAGGCAGCTTAC